ATACGAGGATGCACTGCGTACCGAACTTTCGCCCTCTCTCCCTAATGACATTAGGCTTTAAAGGAATAGGCTGTCGACCGCCATGTACGACGCAGGAGCATCTGCTTGTGGTATTATCAATCGCCACCGCACCAGTGACTGGATATCCGAGAGGTCGGTGAACTTATTGGAATCCAGAAGAAACTTCCCGGCTGCCTTTGTGCACAATGCGACCAGACGGACTATTAGACACGAACTAAAGCGAAGCCTGCGTGCTGATAAGGAAGCCTGGTGGACCAGTCGGGCTCAAGAAATAGTGGAGGCGGGAGTAGTTTGGAACTATCGCAAACTCTTCTAGCTGACCTGCACCACTGGTCTCAGAAAACCAGGCGTCAGTGAGACAATAAGAGACAGTGCGGGTGCTATGATTCACGATAAGCAGCGCTCTATGGCTCTTTGGGTGGAACACTTTCGAGATCAGTTCAACTGGCCCCTACCTGCACTCATCATCGATGGTGAGACGCTGAAAATTGTACAGTTTTATCTACCTGGGAGGCTGTATCACTGCTTGTGGGGCTGTTGAAAATTATGCGCATCTCAAGAGCTCGTCTCGCCGAGGCATTTATGGCGCCGCCATAACATCCGTTTCTCCATCAAAGGGCGGATTTATATTGCGGCTGTTCGCGCTGTACTGTTGCACAGTTGCGAGACTTGGCCTGCTCGTACCGATGACCTGCGCCGACTGTCTGTCTTCGAGAACCGTTGCTTGAGGTCCATTGCCCGTCTGTGGAGGCTGCACCACATAACCAACGTTGAAGTCAGACATCTTGTTTTACGTGTCGCCAGCCACTCCCTCGAGGCACTTGTCTCGATGCGCCAACTACGATAGCTTGGACAGGTACTGCGTATGCCCGTTCGGCGTCTTCCGCATCGTGCCTTGTTCGCGGTCGCAGGAAAGGACTGGAGGAAGCGGTGTGGTGGACAAACTGACAATACAGCTGGCCTCATTTCGGACATGTATAAAAGAAGGAAACCATCCCGGTTAACTGGGGTAAATCGATCATATTAGCAATGTAAAAGCAGGGGCGTTGCAGCGACTGTGATAACCACATGGGTATTAGCCTAATGCCAGTAGTGACAAAAATACTGGCCTCAATTCTCGTTCGTCACTTCACTGCGGAACGGGAATCCCGGAGTAGGGAAGAGCAGACAGCTTTCCACCCAGTGCGGGGCTGTATAGACCACGTATTCATTTTGCGGCAGGTGTTAGAGCAGCGCTACGCCTACCGCAGACCTACAATAGCTATGTTATTCGACTTTAAGAGTGCGCTCGATTCAATCGATTGATCGATCTGTTCGAGGCACTTGTGCAGAAAGATGTTCCCATGAAATGTGAGCATTTTGCCTTATCTGTACTCGAACACTGCAATCGACGTCAGGGTCTACGGTGACTTACCTGATATCTATCCGACCACAAGTGGCGTTCGTCAGGGTCGTACAATTTCCCCATTTTTGTTCAGTTTCGCCGCGGACCCTCACGACGCAGGCGTTGAGGTGCTGCGTAGTGAAAAGCTATTTTACATTAATCATGCGGACGATGTTGGGGCGGCTCAATCAACCCCGCATACATCTTTAGAGTGGTCCCTTTATCTGGTATGCGCTTCGCATCTTCAAAGTGTTACTGCAGGACCACCAGCCACTTGATGATCTCTTCATCCTAGAAGGCGAATAACACGAAGTAGTTGATCAATTTACTTATATTGGCAGTGCTTTCAGCAACGACGATGCGTGCATAGCTAATGAGGCCAGTTCACGTATTGCAAAAGCCAGAACTTCTTTTTTGAATCTGCGTCAGCTTTGGCGACAGAAAGGGGTTTCCCTCCGTTTGAAAGACTGTGTTTACAAGGTCACAGTGAAGGTCGTCCTACTTTATGGGAGTGAGACTTGGCTCCTTAGCTCTGAAGCGCCCTCAAGTTTTGATCATCGTTGTCTGCGGAGCAATGATGGCGTCGGTTGCCACCAGCATGTCCGCAACCATGATGTGAGTAAGCAAGTACTAAGCTAGTTCCTTAGAACAACAGACAGCACTGATTAAGTTGCGCTGGCTTAGGCGCGTACTACGTACGATCATTCACCGCTTACGGAGGAGGGCGTTGTTTTGTTTACCAGGCGCAGGGTTGCGCAAGGTCGGAGGTGGGCAAATTTAACTTGGCGACGGGAAATGAAATCAGTGAGAACCAAGCTCAGTGCCGTCAGTCCTTCTCACCTGCCAGCCTGGAGGGCACGTGACTCGCCTTGTGCTACGCTTGAGAGGTCACAGGACATGGCTCGCGTTCAGCACCAGTGGCGCGTCTGCTGCCGTATACTATTCGGACTGCCTGTTTAAAGTATGTTGGTGCTGAATCATCTGCGGGGTGATGGCTGAGTAGGACGCGGGGCAGTGAAAGCCGCAAGGAAGCTGTCTTGCTGATGCCAGCTGTTTGTGATGGTATGTTGTCGACAAGGTGTGAGCGCCTTGACCCTGAATGGTTGCTTAGGGCATTAAGGTTTTCAGGTAAGCTCACCTTTTCTCCATCTTATTATTCTTCGTTCTGTAGGTAGTTATGGTTGCATGGCAGCGAATCATCAGTTCAAATGACTGATGTACTGCTGTTGATGATGATGAGGTAACGCTGATTCCTAAGCGAACGCAACTTATTCATTGTTGTTCTAAGGAACAAGCCTGGTTGTCACCGCCTAGTAATCGCTTACTCACATCATCGCTGCGGACACGCTGCAGCCATCCGACACCAGCAATGCTTCGCAGGCAGCGATAAGCAAAGACTTGAAGGTGCTTTAGGTCCTCTGCTCGATGAGGATAACTCTTACTCCCATAGACTACAACGGCCCTCACTGTGGACTTGTAAACACGGCCTTTTAGACCGGGGGAAACCGCGTTCTGACGCCACAGATGTAGCAGATTCAAGAAGACGGTTCTAGATTTTGTAATACGTGAATTGACTTCAGTGCTTATGAGCCATCGTTGCCGATGCAGATGCCAAGTTAAGTGAATTGGTCAACTACCTCGAGTTCACCGCTATCAACAGTCAAGAGAATCGAATGACTGGAGGTCCTGTAACAACATTGTATTTTGAAGTGCGAAGCACACGCCAAATAATGGGACCACTCTAGAGAGGTTATACAACGTTAAACAGCAAGACGATATCGTCCGTATGATTAATATAAAATAGCTTCTCACCACGTAGCACCTCAATACTTGTATCGTAAGGCTCCGCAACGGAACACTGCATGATGGAGTTCAGGACGAAATTGAACAAAAATGGGGAAAACGGACAAACTTGACGAACGCCACTGGTTGTCGGGATGATATCAGATAAGTCACCGTGGACACTTACACGGCTTGTGATGTCCGAGTACAGGACACGTAAAATGTTCATATATTTCACGGAAACACCTTTCCGCACAAGTGCCTTGAACAGAATAGATCGATCGACTGAATCGAATGTAATCTGGAGATCGAGGAACACTGCTACTGTAGGTCTGCGGTAGGCGTGGCGCTGCTCCAACACCTGCCGCAAAGTGATTACATGGTCTATACAGCCCCGCACTGGGTGGAAACCTGTCTGCTCTTGCCTACTCCGGGGTTCCCGTTACGGAGTGAAGCGGCAAACGAGAATTGAGGCCAGTACTTTTGTCACTACTGGCATTAGGCTAATACCCATGTCACTGCCACTTTTGGATTTTGCCATTATAATCGATTCCCTCCAGTTAATTGGGACGGTTTCCTCCTTTCACAAATGTTCGAACAAGGATGTCAGTGCTTTGCAGAGCACCTCATCTCCATCCTTGAGTAGTGTAGGTAGCAGGGAGTTCAGGACAGCGGCACGAAAACGATGCCTGTGGTCTCGTTTCGGATCTCAGCCTCCTACGGAGGCACTAAACTAAACGTTCATGGCTTATCCTGCATCATCTGAGTAGGAAGAGGCCCAGGCGCAAGGGGCCCATTGAACTGATCTCAAAAGTGTTCCGCCCAACAAGCCATAGAGCGCTGCTGATTGTGAATAAGGACACCCGTGCTCTCCGCTTGTCTGGCTGACGCCTGCTTTTTTGGCACCAGTTGTGCGGATCAGTTGAAAGAGCCTGCGATAATTGCTAACTGCTCCTGCTTCTTCCATTTCACACATGTAACATGGCAAGGTGAAGAATTTTAGTCCATCGCTGGCCAGCTATAGGTGGATGCCAAGTGGCACTTCAGTGCCCATAGTGTTTAACAGCAAAGCTACTGAGAAACAGCCGGTGCTCAGCGCACACTTACAACAGACGCCTGCCGGTGTCCGTAAGATCGGAGTCAGGTCCATAGCTGAGCTTCTGAAGAGCTCACATGACCTACCTGCGCACTTTTATCTGTAAACATTATGATATCTGAACTTTTAACACTGCATATTAATGTGTTCAGTTTGTGGTAGAAGGTGTCCTTAGCAGCATCAGGTCAGCAGTCGGTTGGGGCATAAGCCGAAACCACCAACAAACAGCGTTTTGTACTACTTCGTGTATCAACCTTAACTGATGTCGACAAACTGGGTACACACAAACGGCTGCCCACCGGAATCCAATCAACCAACGATGGCTAAGCCATGGAGCTGAGAATGATACCTATCCATCCTCACGTGTGCGACTGTTGCTTGCAAAATTCCGACGGTTCCGTTGTGTACTTGAATTCACTGTGGCTGCAAACAACCAGGAATATAGGCTGCAAGTAAACCAAAGTCTAAAAACGGTAATAAATTCTGCAGTCACCGAAAAATAACGCGTGGAAGCCTTGAGAGATGATGTACGAGCAGAAAACTTGGTATTGGAAGATGCTGATTCATGTTGCGCTGTTGTACTGTTCCGTGTCCCAAGGTTACCACAGCACGCAAATCAGCGCATATGCATAGGGAGTGACACCTGCGAAACTTATGGACATTTTGCAGGGTATGAAAGAACACGAAATAACAGGTTGTTGGGTACATAAGTCTTACCTTTTTTACGTATGACGCGGCATCTTCCTCGGTGTAAACCTCTCCGCTGACCGCACCCCGCCGCGAACGCCTTTGGATCGGTGCATTAACAGTGGCAAAAGGGCAGGAGGCACTGCCAGTCCCATGAGATGAACATGGTTGCCTAGTATCCTCGGTTGTACTGGTGGCACTACAGTTATCAATGCGTGGCAATGCGCCATGATCGAGGGAAACCCCTTCGTCTAGTGAATCATTTACCGGTGCAATAATGGGGTCGATATTGGATGAAGTTGGAGTGACCGATAGTAGGTCTCGGGAATCAGGGGGTCCATCTCGAAGCAGATTCATAGACTGTGCTGGGATATTCTCAGGGGGACGTGAAGAATTCGGGACAGAAGGGGAAGTGGTGGGAGCCACACATTCGCAGACGGAATTGGCGTGAACTGCTGAATCGTTGGTTGAAGCAACATCAGCTGTGTTGCTCTGAACATTCTCGCGGGAACAATTAAGCTGTAAAAGGTAGCAAAAGAACTGATAATAACTGGAAACTGCTCACAGGGGAAGAATAAGAAAAAGATGAAACTGAAACGTGATTTTGTTTGCGAATAAAACAATGACATTCGATAACAAACGGGATAACAAACGGAACAGTGTACATAAGAATATCAAGATCCTCAGTGGCGTTCAAGTGGTGAGAGGCTTGAGTTACAAGGCATTTCCAAAAGTAAAAAAGATGTGCTGAAATAAGTGGCGTTGTAGAAAACAGTGAATATCACATGAGTTAAACGTCCTCGGCAAGTGGGCGCAATGTGGTCTGAAGTAGTTGAAATTTTAGGCTTATGCTCCAACCCAGATCGGCAAACCAAAGAGTGGACCCAACCACTTTCACTTACCTCGTCATAAGAAGAATGTAGAAAACTCATGAAAAAGATGGGAGAAAAGTTAGGGAAAAGTGGAGATCAAACAACAAAATCGTTGCACTGTAGTGGGGAATTTCGCGGTAGTTCAATTGAAACTAGCAGTGGTCAGACTCAGTCAGATAGTTACTGCACAAAAACCCTTTGGATTACCGCTTCTCCTTTGCATCGTTCATTTTCATCCAACCCTGTAGGGTCCGTATCCATGACCGTTGTACATGGGAATGGCAGTTTATATTTCTAGGCATGAACAACCATACCCACAAAACCTATGGACAAACGTTTCAACGGTTTTCCGTTCACTATCTCCATTTCCCGGAAATGTTATCCTCTGCCGAATCTAAGAAGTCGCGCTCTACCGCACCACCACCATTCAAATACGTTATTCAGCACTTGTTCAATTCCTCAGTTTCAGATACCACAACACCGTTTCTAGTGATAGTTCTCGCTGCACGGATCAGGAGTCTAAGTCCGAAGGTTCGCCGCTAAGTTTCGTTGTAGTTTTTCTATTCCCAATCCCAGCTAACAGACCGCGGATGCATGTGAAACGTCGCCCATATATGGTGGAATACTAAGTGACAGATCGAAACGTCTTGTGGGGACGTTTGATCATCATAATAGCATTAATGGAAATCCACCAGCCTGTATTTGAGCTACTCCATTTAATTAATCAATACTGCTTCTTTGACATCAGTCGTTCTTATTTGTATAGCACTTTTGAAGGAGATTCGTACGGCCACTGTATATCCGGAAGAACACTTGGGGGCAGTTTCATCCCTATGGGAAACGGCGGCAGTCCGCCTTCAACTGAAACGTCCACTGCTCACGAGTTCTACTTGTGCCATTTATCAAAAAAAGGAAACTGCCACGTAGTGCCACTGGATCGCCCTTCTCCCTGCTAAAATCCAGGACACCAATCCGCATGAGTCAGTGAACTGACCATGTGCTAGACCCGCTGCCTTTCGGGTGTTCATTTAATCGAAGGCTTTGGCTGAGAACCCGAGTCGTCCTCCTGTCAGGATTGGGCGCCCTGGCAGTATCCTACTCCATCCTCTTCGGAGGTTAGGAAGTGGTCGATGGCCCTCTTCCCGTAAAACCTAGCCATGGGAGACAACAGCTCTACGGGTTATAAGCTCACAGCTCGACTGGCGTAGAGCACGAGCGCCACGCATTGTCTCTGACGGTGGGAGGGTACCTCCGGGTGTTTAATGGCTTGCTACTACCCGCCTCAAGCCAGGCAGCATCTGGTCAAATCAGTGTAAACCTGCTAAAACCCACCTGCGTCTGGCCGTGGTCGCAGGTGCGTATCCTACTACGGTCGAAAATATATATAAATCGTTCCAGTACCTCCAAGGCTGCGTGTGACGGCCGTCAAGCAGATTCCCATCTGTCTCCGCAATCACATTCCCGAGCTGGATCTGCTCCCCACTGCCTTGTGGGTCAGGCTATTGAGCCAAAGGCTCCGGGTGGAGTCCCTCAAGCAAACCTCCGAAGCACAACGGCCACCTCGCGTGCGGTTACCCACCAATGCAATCGTATGCCTGCGCGCAAAGCACTCAGCATCTGGTGCTGGAACGTGCGCACACTACTGGACCGGAACTCCAACGAGCGCCCGAAGCGACGCACTGCACTCCTCGCGATGGAACTGGCGCGCTACAACATCGATATTGCGGCGCTCAATGAAACCCGGCTTGCTGAGCAAGGTAAGTTGCATGAAGCAGGTGCTGGCTACACATTCTACTGGGTGGGCAACGCCGCCCCAGCACCACGTGATCATGGGGTCGGATTTGCAATATCCGATCGCCTCCATGGCCAGCTGGTGGGTGGACCAACGGGCATCAGCGCGCGACTGATGACTGTTCGCCTACGACTCGGAAGAGGTAAGTTTGCTACTTTTATAAGCACGTACGGTCCGATCATGTGTTATCCTGATGATGTTATCCTGATGACACGCGTGATCAATTCTACATTGAGCTATCCTCCGTGATACGGTTTGTGCCGAGGAGCGACCGACTATTTCTACTGGATGATCTCAACGCGCGCGTTGGGTGTGATGCATCAACGTGGACAGATGTTGTCGGTTCGCATGGCATTGCTCCAGCGAATGCGAACGGTGACAGGCTGCTCTCACTGCGTGCCACTCTATGCCTGACGATCACGAACACTCGGTTTGCACTGAGTGCGAGTGATATAGCAACTTGGACGTACCAACGGAGTGGTCACGTTCACCTGCCCGCCTATGTCATCGTACGTCAGCGTGATATGCGTGAAGTGCGCATGACACGTGTACTGCGTGGAGCTGAGTGTGGCACTGATCACAAGTTGGTGCGGACCAAACTGTACATATATTTTCGTAAATCTATGTATTGCACTCCCGCCGTGAATCGGCGTGAAGTTAACCTTCTCTCCCTCGGTACTGTGGTGAAACGTACTGAGCTGGAAAAGGCGATGGCTGCACGCCTGTGTGATGTGGAATGCATAGCCACAATGGGCGAACTGTGGCACCACATTCGTGACCCAGGTGACAGCTGCTGCCGAGGAGACCATCGGGCGCGCAAACTGTAAACGGCCTGATTGGTTTGATGAGAACAATGCGACGATCGGCGCATTGGTGTCGGAGAAGAATGCAGCATTTGCTGCACATGTTGCCAACCCCAGTGACTTGGGAAAGAGTAGTCAGTTTCGCAAACTTCGACGGCGACTGACCCGAGAGCTCCGTCGCATAAAAAATGCATGGTGGACGGAGAAAGCGAAGCAGATGGAATGCTACGCCGAACGCCGCTAACACAAGGAATTCTTTGACTCCTTGAAGGCAGTGCATGGACCGAGATTGGAGCCGCTGAGGACACTGATTGATGGTAGTTCAGGCGCTACCTGCACACAAACTGCCGACATAATGCAGATCTGGCGAAAGCACTTCTACTGTCTCTTGAACAACCGTTCAGAGATCGACTGGCCTACATTTAACGGCCTCAAGCAGCACGATGTGAAGGCGAATCTGGCGGACACGCCGACACTGGATGACACGCAGAGAGCACTTTCTCAGCAGCGAAACGGCAAGTGTGCCAGGGCCGACGGGATCCCGCCTGAAGTATTGAAACACGGCGGACCCGTGTTGGTGACTGCGCTGCAACACTTGGTGCAACATGTATGGATTGAAGAGGAGGTGCCTCCTGAGCTGAAGGATGCCCTTGTGCTACCACTGTACAAGGGCAAAGGGAGCAAGCAATGTTGCACGAATTATCGTGGCATCAACTTGCTGAGTTGTGTGGGCAAGGTGATTGCCCGAATCCTGCTCAACCGCCTCGTGAGTCAGGTTGTGGAACCGAACGTGGCGGAAGAGCAGTGTGGATTCCGTTCGGTTGGAGCACTATATATATGGTGTTTGCGGCTCGTCACTTGCAGGAGAAGTGCAGAGAACGACACCAGCCGTTGTACTCGCTTTTTGTTGATTTCACCAAGGCATTTGATATGCCGAACCGCGAGGCATTGTGGCTGGTGTTGGGTAAGTTTTGTTGCCCGCCTAAGTTTGTAAGTTTAATTGAATGTCTGCACAGTGGTATGCCAGCGAGGGTGCAGCTGAGTGGACAGACCTCAGATGACTTTGCAGTTGTCTCTGGTGTGAAGCAAGGCTGTGTCTTAGCTCCTGCCCTGTTTAATATATATCTTCATGCAATGATGTCTTGCGCTTTTGATGCGGCTTGTGCTTACGGTGTTCGTGTGGAGCACCGTATTGATGGTGGGTTGCTGAACATCCGTCGTTTCGGTGCGAGAACTCTAGTCTGTGAGACAACTATCCGTATGTTGCTGTTTGCTGACGACTGTGCGTTGTTTTCACACAGCGCGGATGAGTTGCAGCACATGACTAGTGCTCTGGCTTCGACAGCGGCCAAATTCGGGCTCACCATCAACACAAGCAAAACTGTCTGTCTCTTTCAGCCTTCACCGGAGGTGCAATCTTCAATATTGCCGCGAATCAGCATTGGTGCTGAAGTATTGGAAACCACCTCCTACCTTGGGAGTGTGATGTCGACTGATCAGGAGATAAACAGTGAGCTTCGTATCCGCGTGTCGAAGGTAGCAGCGGCATTCGGGAAGCTAGAGTACCGAGTGTGGAACAACCATCAGCTTACCACTGGCACGAAACTGATGGTGTACAAATCCATGGTGCTGTCCGTTCTTCTATACGGCAGTGAAACGTGGACGATGTACCGTCGGGATGTGCGATATCTCGAGCGGTTCCATCAGCAGCGCTTGCGACGGATTTCGCGTATCGGTTGGATCGACATCGTTGCAGAAACGGAAGTGTTGCGCCGTAGTGGAATGTATGCAGTGGACTGCATACTTTTGCTGAGACACCTGAGGTGCATCGGTCATGTGAGCCGTATGGATTCAACGCGGATACCGAAGCAACTCTTATATGGTCAGCTGAGTATTGGGAAGCGGCACGTGGGAAAACCAAAGTTACGTTACCAGGACATGATTAAATTGAGCCTCACACGTTCTAAGCTTGATTTCAGATCATGGGAATCGAAGGCGGTTGATCGGCGTGCATGGCGCGATCTGATCACTGTGGTCAGCCACAGGATGTCT